AAGCAAAGTTTACAGCACTCCACCTGATACCTTGGAAGATCTGCGAGGACGAATCATTAATGTATGTCGCGAAGTAACACCGCAAGTGCTCCAGAATGTTCGACAACGGTTTGAAGACAACCTGTATCATTGTATGCAAGTTGGCGGACAACATTTTCAGCATTTACTTGACTAATACCGTAAGTTTTGAAGTAAAATTAAATCGATTTTCGCATTTCTCGTCAAAAATATTGTTCGTATTTTCAAAGCTGCATATTTTCTAAAATAATGAATCGATTTTCAAAAAGTAAGAATCGATGTATAGAGAATTAAAAGCCCTTTCTAATGACCCCCCACTTGACCCCCATTCCCATTTGAAAAAATTTAGGGGATAGCACCCCCACTTAGGGGGTTGAAGATTTTGGTATGCTTTTTGAGCCAAAAGTTGTCCCCCTCAGAAACAAATTTGACCTGTTTTTGGATTTTGCCGAAAAGTTCTTTACTACCCTGTAATTCCTTGCGGTACGTTTTCGATGGGCTACCCTGTATATTATCTCCTGTATGTATACATTTACTGTCTTTATGAGATATAATAAATATAGTGGGTTGCACCAGACCAGTTTTTTTTATAGTAGTATGATCCGCTGAATCAGAATCTAGTCAGAATTTCCGGATCAATTTGTATTTTGATTCTAACATTAAGATATATTTAGAAAGCAGTTTACGAAAATTCAAACTGATTCGAATAGGATCAAAATATGAACTTATCCATGAACTCTGACTAGATATGAATTCAGCAGGATACCTACAGGATAACGTCGTAGTATGTAGCACCAGTTCGAAATTCGGCCATGTTTCAACAAGTATTCGATAATCTTTTAAAAAGCTCCATCCAAGGGGCAGTTCCCGCCTAAACCCTAGAATTATCACATACTTCTATCCTATATCTATTCTATAGAAGTATGTGGGAATTATAGACAACCGCAGATGACCTACGACCAGAGATATGGAGTAGGGGAGAATGAGTTTTGACGAGTGCGCATCCACTTTTCTAGGGACGCTACGGGCGCAGACATTTTGAAGGCTTTTACGTCACGCAGTGACGCAGTTGTTGTTGACGTTAGGTTCGCAGGTGTGTTTTTTGAGGTTATTCATATTTTTGTTTGTAAATTTCGTTTTTATTGAACTTTAAATATGTCTTGTGCTTTGTACTGTGAAAGGAAGCGCAAATTGCAGAAGATGTCCAATACAAAACATTTCTAAATATTTAGGTAGCTGTACACAAAAATAAGATATTTCCACTTTTTATTCTAAATTTTTATTGTAAACATGTAATTTTTTTATTTCTAGCTTTCCTAGAAATGAAACTTTACTGGACANCAGAACCGCCAATAGGAAGCCGCAACAATTTTCACCTTTTTTTCGAATTTCGACAAAATTTAACAAGTTCGAAAAATTCAATATTGGAACGGCCTTAGGCTCACCAATAATTGAAATGATTTTCCGCACGATTTTGGAGACGCCCACAATCCAAACTTTGCGCGAACTTCACTACAGCCCCTCTGCGGAGCTAAGGTCAAGAAGTGATCGAAGGTCAGCCCAGGAACCATATGTAGATCAAAAACCAGTGTTGGATCCTGGCCAGTACATGTTGTACGCTCCAAATTTTAATACAGGTGTTACATACATTATTAATATGAGAATAGCAATAAATCTCAATTTTTGTTTTATAAAAATCAAGCCCGAGTTAAATTTCTCTAAAAGATTAAAAAGAGCTCAATGCTTCCATTGCTTGTGTGGCACATACCACCCAGGATTTGTCCACCCTGTGCCTACGGTGAAAATCCTAAGTTACACGACCTTCTAACGCACCTATACACAAGCTATTAAAAGTTTTCATACACAAGTCAATATAACCTCAAGCTCTACAACTTCCATAAATAATTCAAGCTCCTAAAGCTTCCATACAAACACACTAAAGGAGGCCTCGCACACATAAACTTTAGTGTCCTAGCCCAGCACACCCATAGACAGTGATAAAGATGCACAATAGTACCATACTCGACAGACAGTCCTCCCATAAAGCCAAGTGCTCAGTGCAAAAAAAAAGGTTGTGGAAAACCTCACATAAAAACAAAATTTAAAAACACAAACTAAAGCATATCTCAGTGTAAGTGCCTCTCTAGGTACAAAAATAGAGCGTGGATCATTATCCCAACCTCCTCATGAAGAGTGTCAGTATCGACGTCATCTAACCCAAGAGTGCGTTGAGGTTGGCCTGAAGGGGGAGATACCCGAGCATCCTGGTAATTCCTTCACAGGCGAGCAGGCAATTAACATCCCTTCACCACGGGCGAAAACGAACCGAGGAACCGTCACTGAACCTAATACAAGTATGAGGGTGTACCACCGCCTTTACATACAAAGAGATAATGAAAATGAGAAAACCAATCATATCCAGGACAATACATTGGTGTGGTACACAGCTCTATCCACTTTTTTATTTGTGTTGTGTAATTAAATCATTTTAAAGGCATTTCATCATCCCAAAGTGTGATGAACCTTTAAGAGCAAAATTCATATTATAAAAACTTTTTTAAACGAATAATATGCTTCCTTGACAGTAACACATAATTATTGTGATGAACTTGAAGTTTATACGGTTCTAGAAATAAATTTTGAATCCTGATATATGTTTCTTTTGTCCTTGTGTTAATTATGTTGTCCTGTGCTCTATTTACAGATGCATGCCAATTTTAGATGTATCGTATAAATAAGTTTTGTGAAAATATTAACTTTGTCATATGTATCTACAGGGTGGCCCAATAGTGTGACATAGTTCAATGTCTCCCTTATTATAATTATTTGAAAAGAAATATTTTATGGGAGTGATATACTTAAAAAAGTTCACATTTTAAAAATATTTTGAATTATACAGGGTGATGCATAGAGCAGAACATCTTTAAGGTGGTTTTTCTTAAATGGAACAGTCTGTATATTTTTACAAATTTGTATTCTACAGAAAATTCTGTTTCCAGCGATGTCTTTGTTTTTTGTTTTCAATGCGGTGATGCCAAGATTTGAAAAAATTACTCGTTGGAGACAGGGTTCTGTAAATCTATCTACTGTGCAGGTACTGCCAGTAATTAAGAAACAATATTTTGTAGGCATGCGGATCAAAGATGTGGACTAACAATAAAATAGAAAAATCTTTATAATTTTGTACAGGGTGTTCTACACATAAACCCCACTTTAGCGAATTTCAGAAATTTTCTCGATTTTTTAAATGAAACATACGGTATATTACTTTATATTTGGAATAATATGTTAATTACCTACAACTTTTGTAAATAATACCCTATGCCTAAAATCAGTATTTTCGGAAATATTGGAATTTTTCTAGCAAAACCCCTTTAATTTTGCATTACTCTTACATGAGGTTGACAAGGCAACCTTTCAAAAGAATGGTAATATCAACCAACATAATTTTGATTATTTTGCCACAGAAAACCGGCATTTTGTGAGAATGTACTCATAAAATAGATGGAGTTTAAATGTTTGGGGAGGAACTGTTGGTCAATATGTTATTGGACCACACTTTTTTGAGGGGAGAGTAACGAGATATATCTAGATTTTTTGCAAAATTATTTACCGCAATTACTTGCTTCTGTTCCCTGGCCGGCTAGAAGTCCTGATCTTACAAAAATGGATTGGATATGGTGGTTTGTAAAAGATAACAGATATAGAAGATCTCCCACTACCAAAGATGATATGAAAATGTGAATAAGAAATTGTTTCCAAAGCATTACCCTTAAAATGTGTAGGAATTTGAGTACCTATATCTTTTGAGAACCATAGTGACCTACGTTTTCAATTTAACGCAAGACGCTTTGAACATTTAGTTAGATATTTAAATTGCTTATTTAATTAGTACCTATTAATATTTCTTTTCTTTTTGTACTAAGTAACTATTTAATTTATTACTAATACTTCTTCGCTTCTGTTCATTTGTAGTAATTCCTTGTCTTTTTAAATTTTGTTAAAATCTACTTTTAATCATTAAATTTATCATTTTTCTATTGTTTGACTAACTTACTAACTTATTATTTTGCAAAAATATACATTTTCCACCCGACCTGGACTAAGCCCTGACAACTTTTTAAGGTATTTGCGATTTTCTGTGGTTTTTATCAATTTCTTCTTAATTACCATCAAGTTAGCCCTGGACAAAAACAATTAGCTTAACAATTTTAATTTTGTTACTGTTGGCAGATAAAGGATAGATTATAAATTTTGTTATTTTATGTCAAACTCGTGGCCTACTGGAGTAATAAAAAGTAAAATTTGCAAAATTATACTGGTTTTGCTAGGAAAGTGCCAATATTTCCAAAAATTGTGATTTTAGTCATAGGGTATTATGTATTTACAAAAGTTGTAGGTAATTAACATATTAATCCAAAAATACAATATACCCGGTATTTCATTTAAAAAAATTGAGAAAATGTCCTTCGAAATTCGCTAAACTGGGGCTTTTGTGTAGAATACCCTGTACAAAATTATAAAGATTTTGCTATTTTGTTGTTTGTCCGCATTTTTGATCCGCATGCATATAAAATATTTTTTCTTAATTACTGGTAGTACCTGCATAGTCGATAGATTTACACAAACCCTATCTGTCCCAGCAAAAATTATCTTATTTTTTCAAATAACTTGGCATCGCCGCATTGAAAACAAAAAACAAAGACATCGCTGAAAACAGAATTTTCTATAGAATACAAATTTGTAAAAATATACAGACTGTTCTATTTAAGAAAAACCACCTTAAAGATGCTCTGCTCTAATGCATCACTCTGTATAATTGAAAATATTTTTTAAATGTGAACTTTTTTAAGTACATCACTCCTAAAAAATATTTCTTTTCAAATATTTATAATAAGGGAGATATTGAACTTTGTCACACTATTGGGTCACCTTGTCCTGTATGTATGAATAAATAAATACACATTTTCACAATTTACTTAACAAAAATTTATTTGTGATGTAGTCTTTACAGGGAGGTTTTAAATGGCACAATTAAAAATTCTATATCACTATAAAATATTCGTTCATTGAGACGAAATAAATATTTACAAATAAATATAATTTAAAATATATCTATTGTTAGACAATATAAATAATATTCCATGAAAAAGTAAGGTACTAAAATTCTTGATGTTTATATAAATTTAAAGCATTTTTGCTTGTCATGTGGTATTCTGGTTTTGAACAGAATTGAATCGGCTCTGTACTGGGTATTTAATAAAGGTGTATATCCAAAAACCTGGAATAAAAAAACAATATGAAATATTCGGTTACCTCTACCACCATTCATTTTAATATTTATGTATATGTACGAGTATAATAAATATATTATAATATATATCAAAACTGTTTATAAAATAGACTGATTAAAAGTAAGCATATGGTAATTTTAAAATAAACAGTTATGATATCAAGCAGAACCTTAAATTAAACACTTGTTTAATATTGGTAATTATAGAATAAATTAATTAAAAGTAACAGCTCACCAAATGAAAATATTTGTAACAATAAAAAGTCATTTGAATGAATAATAGTTTAACGGACAAAATTTGGGGCGACACTTAGGCCACTCGTGTATATACGAAGTAATTTAACTAAACTAAAAATTAAAGAAAACAAATATGCACAAAAACAAATTTTAACACTACAAAAAAACTGTTAGTGCATGTGCCTTAAAACGATTTGAGGCAAAAAATAAAATAAAAAAATTAATTTCAGGATGTGGTACGTAAAAAAATAAAGACATTAAAGACTTCTACATTAAAATCTTCAAAAGGTAGGCCAAAGGTAGCAGTTACATCGCGAAGGTATTAAGATTAAAATAATATTTTTCTGTTCTATATTATTGTTTCAGGATTAATTGGTCAATCTCAAAATTAGAATTCGAGTGGTCAAAATAAGAAATAAAAACCCTATGGGGAATGTTGGAAAAAAAATCACATTTTCTAAAATGTCTCTCAAGACGTTTGATGTACTGATAAAACTTATTTCTCATTTAAGATTTATAAAGTTTATAAAATACATATAGAAGTATTTTGATATTTTCCACTATTGTCTTTCTACCTCCGGTGTTGAATGCGGTTAATTCTAAGAGTCTCAACAAATATCGTACTACAAGTAAAATTTAAAACCATATATTTGACATTTCGGGAAATAAATACAATTATTAGAACCTACTTTAAACTTTATAACTATAACTTCTATAGTGAAAGAATACCACTACTGGAGACTGTTTGGAAAAGATTAGTGATGTAAACATCAGTAGGTATATATTTTTATTTAGACAAAGGTAAAAGTCATTCTGGTAACATAAACTTTTATTTATAATTTGAAGAATTTTATTATTGGGAGTATTTGTTAAATTTGTTAACCAATAATGAAGCATTTAAAATAGGAAGGGGCTGGGATTCATTTATATCATAAGGGATTTCAGTATATACAATGGGACAAAAGTAGATAAATGATTGTTGCTCATAAAGAGTGTCCCAATATTCTGTGTCCTGCGACAAAAGTAAGCAGATTTAACTAAACTTACCTCTATCCTACGTTGTCGCTATAGGGGGTCAACAAAAAAAAAATGTTCTTTTCAAATAACATTGATATGTCTTGTAAGATTTTGTTGAAATTTGTAGATGATTTTCAAAAATGAAGGGTTTGTTAATGTTTTCTTTATTAGATCATTACTAATGGATTTTCGATTCAAACTTGACATAATAATTAAATATACATTTCAAAAGTAATTTATTAAATAGCTTTTAAAAGATTATTCTCCCACAAGAACTGTTCAATACCGTTTTCTATAATACACAATTTAATTCTACGGAAAAAATTAAAATGCACTCAGTATTCCTTTATTCTGCAAATTGTGAACAGCACCTTCAATAGTGGTTTTAAGGCTTTCATGTCTCATACCGATATTTTAAACTACTGTGTACTGGTGCTGGTTGCTGCCAGTTACAGAATTACCCTGCACTTTCTTAGCCTAGGAATCCTGGACTTGCCCTTGCTGCTCCCGGGCCTATCCTCTCGGGTGGCCAGGTACATACCAGGTATATACTCATAGAGTCCACTTTCTGTTTCAATATAAGAATAAGAAAACAGGGGTCTAAGTCAAGTGAATATGGTGGTTAAAGTGTTGGAGCATCGTATCTCCTGCCCTATACACTTGACTGGGTACTGATTATTTATTACATTGAGAGTGAAGTGTAGCGATGCTCTATCATGCTTAAAATAGGTGTAACTATGTAGATTAATTGGTAGATCGTTAACAATTCCGGCAGAGAATCTAAATAACGATTGGCATTGAGACGATTTTGGTAATATAATAGGAACAAGCAGAAAGTTACTGATGAAACCAATATTCCGTTAGCCAAAAAATGATATCGACAGATGCTCTACCTCCCTGCAATAATAAGCTGAGGACAACATACATTGCAAATATTTGGGCACATGCTCATCTACAGGTCCCAATAGAATTGTATCTGCCTGATTTCGGCTGGGAAGAGGACAAATTTCTTTTCAAATGGTTCGAGGGTGAACAGCTGCCCTATTCCCTGCAGGTTAGAATTATACAGTAGAATCTCTATAATCCGGAACTTCACTACACCGGCACGTCCAGTAATCCGGCGTTATTTTTTCCGCGTTTGTTTACTATCCTTGAAGAATACAGTTTATACAGTTATAGTTTAGTTGAAAGATTATCAGTGGCAGTGCGTGAACATTGATTGAATGTGTTCTGCTTAGGGTTGTTACATTTGTTGAATTGAATTCCGGGATATTAAGTGCCCGGAGTCTCTAAACGGCACCGCAGGCGAAAATTTTAAAAATTTTCAAATTTTCATTTTCAACGCGTTTTCCTATCACTTCTGAATTTCAAGAAACAATCCATTTATACAAAAATACAGATTTTCACAAGAACGATTTTTGAAATTGATACCTTTTTGAAATATCTATTGTTAAGGAATATTCATCTCCAGACAGGGCGAACTGAAGGCACTCTGTATATCGGCGTTTTATAAACAAACGCCGGATAACCAAAACAAATGGAGATCAAGCGTTCGGGCGACACCCGGTGAAGAGGCATAAGATAGGATGATTCAGATATGAATGTTTGAAGCGGTCACATACAGTCTGTTCACTTCCTATAAATTTTTGTTAATAAAAGTGTATAATCGAATTATTAATTAACATTTATCTTAACATATCAGAAGCGGGATTCGTACCTGTGTATTTAATTCTGTTTTGATAAAATTCATGAGTGTATTGTGCTAGTGATAAAACACCTTTATTGGTGAGTACTGTTTATTACTTATTTGCTGTCTGCCTGCTCATTCGTTAAGCGCTATTACATTTTGGGGTCTGCTTGACCATTTCTGTTATTTTCATTGTGATTTGTTAAGTTCACAAAAAAAGAACATTTTGCAAAAATATTCTAACAATGACGGGACGTTCAAGCCGTAGCCGAGTACGTAAACAAGATAGCAGTCATCGCCGACGGCTCGCTCCCAGGCGTGATCGAAGCCGTAGCCAAAATAATCGAAGTGTTAGTCCGCGTTATAGACAAATTTTGGAACGACGACTTAACGCATTAGAAACTTTGGTTCGAACTACCCATTCTAGCCGAGATACCTCAAGTGATTTACGAGCTGCACTTCAAACTACGGCGGCACGTTCTCGGAGTCCACACGACGCAAATTTAATAAATAAACAAAGATATGTAGGGCGGATGGAATTAATACCTGAATTTGATGGCTCTTCCAACAGTTTGACAATTCGTCAGTGGTTGGCGAAAATCGATACGGTCGGAGAGATTTATAGTTGGGATGATCGCGCGAAAATATTTGCAATGATAGGGCGTCTTACCGGAAATGCAAAATCTTGGTACGACTGTAGGTCAGATATTAATTCGTCTAATTGGGATGAATGGAAAAACATACTTTTAAGTGCTTTTCCATTGTCAAAAGGAATTGTGACCAACCTGAGAGACTTTGTGAATACCGAAAGGAAACATAACGAAGATGTAGTAACGTTTTATTATTCTAAATTGAAGTTAGGTAAACATTGCGACCTACCGGATCACGTAATTACGGATGTAATAATCTCCACACTAAACGATAGTTTATTAAACACAAGTGCTTATGCGGCAGGTTGCAAAAATAGTGAACAACTCCTGAAATTTTTAGTAGAATCAAATTACACATGTGACAATAAAGAACAAAAACGATATCCAGCACAAATTCAACAAAGAAATGCAAATAAAGTAGGCTGTTTTACTTATGGAAAAACTAAATAATGACGTGAGGAAGCCCGTAACTTGTACATTTTGCAAAAAACCTGGACACCATAAGGATAACTGCTATGCATTAAAATCTAAAACTAATAACGCGACAAAAATAAATGTAGTGTCTGTGGATAACGCAAAATATCACGTCACTGCAAAAGTTAACGATGTAGACGTATCAGCGTATATTGATTTAGGCAGCGCTTGTAATGTTCTTAAAATGAAAGTCGCAGAGTCACTTAATCTTCCTATTGATGGATTTAAACAAACTACAATGCGTGGATATGGCGGTGCCGTAGTTTCTTCAGTTGGCGAAACGTCTGCCAAAATAAAAATTAATGAAGTCGAAAGAGAAGTACCCATTTTAATCGTTGACGATGCGATGCAAGACATGGACTTACTAATCGGACGTTCATTTACCGAATCACCGAACCTGCTGGTTACCAAAACAAGTGACAGATTACAGTTTCAAAACGAAGACGCTAATTTATGACAACTGCCTCCACTTGAAGCAGAGAACAACGTAAAATGCAGACTTGTCGTAAATAATAAAACCGAATTGTACCCCGGAATAAACAAAATTGAAATTTATTGTGACATTTTAAATGGCAAGATAACTTCAAACCATTCAGAGCAAAATCGGAATGATTGTTACATTATTATACCATCATGACATGTCAAATTTAAGTAAACTGAAGTCATCTTTCGACAAAGACCAATGCGTATTGCGGGGAATCCCTTACGGGCAGTCCACGACTGAAGTACCTGTAGTACCTGAGGCCTTATCGAAAGATGTACAACAACGCTTAGATAATCTTTTAGAGAGATACCAAGTTTGTTTCGCTGATAGCAACGCTGAGTTGGGTAACACCAATGTTGAAATGGAGATCAGTTTGACCAGTACACAGCCTGTTTGTTATAGACCATGTAGATTATCTTATCACAAACGATACTTAGTA